TTTTTTTTTTTTTTTTTTCCCCTCAGCTGGAGATGTAAGACAGTCAGAAAAAAACTTCTTGGTTGGTGGTGGTGGGTTTTGGTGTGGTTTTTTTGGGTTTTATTTTTACCCCCCAATTAGTGCATATTAAAGCATGCTGTGTGTGTTTTGGGAGCGCATCATAGGCTACCTAGGAAATCTAATTTGTCTCTCTCAGTTCCTAATAGCTGTTTTCAGTATTTTGTATACTGATACAGCTTTCCATACTTGTGGCAGCAGCTATAGATGAGAAGTGCATTAAGTCACCTGGTTCTGGGTCAGTGTCGCTAGAAGATTGTTTCTTGCTGTGTATTAATGAGATCTTTCTTCCTTCAGCTAGCAGGCAGGAGCTTTTGAATAACTTGATATTCTCCAAAAAGTATGTCTTCTCAATCATCTCAGTTGCTCATCAGGAATTCTAAAAGCTTGTCCGCGTCTGCTTATATACTTTATGTATCTTTTACAAGCTGTTCCAGTGAGTAAGTCCAGTTCAGACCTGCTTTTGGGCTGGTCAGGTGCATCTCTGTCCATGCCTTCCTAGGGTCCCACAGGTGATTTGAAAGATGACACACTGGTATTTCCCCAGGCGTTTTTTCTTCCCCTCTGGAGGGCTGGGTTACCCCTGTGAGGAAGCTCTTCACTGAGCATGCACTCTCTTTCGTTTTCAGGCCAGAGCCTCAACAGAAAGCTCCATCTGCACCTCCACCTCCACCCCCGCCCCCACCTCCACCCCTGCCGGAGCCCACCCCGCCAGAGCCAGAGGAGGAGATTTTAGGGTCCGACGATGAGGAGCAAGAGGATCCCGCAGATTACTGTAAAGGTGTGTGCAATTCAGCAGTGTCAATGAGGATAAATGTTGTCATGCAAGTCTTAACTCTGGTTCTTGGGAGGTTTTTAAAGACCTGATCTTTAATTATGGCATTAATTTATACAAGAATTATGAACAACTCCTCATTTCATGTCCAGATACACAACTGTCTTCAGCTTTACTTTTTCACATAGCCATAGCTTATTTATACATTTTGCAATAAATATATGTCGTGGTTTAACCTGGCTGGCAACTAAGCACCACGCAGCCGCTTGCTCACTCCCCCCACAATG